AATTTCCAGCACCCACATGGCAGCTACAAACCGTCCTTAACTCCAGTTCCAGTGGAATCCGAAGCCCTCCTCTGACCTCCGTGGCATTGCACGACACGGTGCACTCACATACATGCAGGCAATATGCTCATACACATAAAATAAAAATAATAAATAAAGTATTAAAGAAAAAAACCCCTCAGTGAATTGTGAAATAACTGCATGCTGCAGAATAGCACAGCTCTAAGCAATTCTCTAATTGGTCTCCCTACACCCGTCCTTATCTTCTTATAATCTATCACCATCATAGTCGAACTCTGTTCAAACGTCAGAGTGTGCCATTCTGCTCAAAATCCTTTAGCAATTTCTCATGAATCCTTAATATCAAGGCTCTCCATGACAGGGTCTGCACCCCCACCCTCATTTCCCACTGGCCCCTGCCTTAGCATTCTGTTCTTGCTGTCCTTGAGGCATGTAGCAGCTCCAGGCCTGTGCATGTCAGTATTCTGTCTGAATGGGTTTCTACCAGCCATCCATATGGATGGCCCCTTTTTGAAATTTCAAGCAAATGCTGTCATCATCCCCCCATGCATTTCATATTGCCTTTCCCCAGGTTTACTTTTTCTTCTTGGCACTTAATAAAATACTCATCTACTTTGCTTACTGTTGGGCTATTCCAACGATTAGAACAAAAACTTTCAAGGACAAGGATTTTAGGTTTTTTATTCACTACCTGTGTCTGAAACAATGCCCAGGGCACACTAAGTGCTCAATGAATATTCATTAACGTACAAAATAAATGCATCATTTTTATATGGCAAAAACCCATCTGAAAACAAAAGCATTTCTAACAAAGTAACAAATAGTCTGCTGGTTATCTATTTTCTTTGTTTAGTTCTTAAAAACATTTTACTATCTGGGTCTTCAAGTTTGTTTGCTTTTGCACATTTTTTTCTTTGTTTTGTAGTTAGGCATTTTAGCTTCTATCAGCCTACTAAGTTTACTTTAGATCCTTTCTTTTCAAGGCATTTATAATAACTACTTTTTGGAAACAACCATTTCTCCTGGGATCTTTTTCTCTGCTGATTTTTGCTTCGTTTTTTCAGACAGGGTCTACTTGTATCCCCAGCTGGCCTGGAACACATAGGTATCTGCCTGCCTCTGCCTCTGAGTGCTGGGGTTAAACTCGTACACCATCACTCTTGGCTTCCCTATGGATGTTGCAGTTTTTAGGGCATGATCTGGGTATCAATGCATACACATATAGTCAATGAAGATTTGTTACTGCCTTCAAATATAAAAAAATTTATTTATTATTATTTTATGTGTATGAGTGTATTGCCTCTATATGTGTAAGCGCACCCGTGTCATGCAGTGGCCTCGGTGGTCAGAAGGCATGGGATTCCCTGGAACTGGAATTACAGACAGTTGTTAGCTGCCACGTGGGTGCTGGGAATTGAACCTGGGTCCTCTGCAAGAGCAATTAATGCTCTTAAATGCTGAGCCATCTCTCCAGTCCTGGCATTATTATTTTTTTTTTTCTTTGTCTTTTTGAGACAGGGTCTCTCTGCAGCCCCAGCTGGCCTGGAACTCACTAACTCACTATGTAGATCAGGCTGGCCTTGAACTCACAGAATCTGCCTGCCTCTGCCTCCTGAGTGCTGGGATTAAAGGCATGCACCACCACACCTGGCTCTTAAAGGTTTTTTTATACTTGTTTGTATGTTTTTACATTCAAAAACGTTTTAAAAATTTATTTTTTATGTGTATGAATGTTTTGCCTGTACATATGTGAGTGCACCATGTGTGTGCAGTACCACCCTGTCGGAAGAAATGCCAGAAGAAAATGTCGAATTTCCCTAAAACTGAAGTTACAGACAGCTGTTAGCTGCCATGTGAGTGCTGAGAACCAAACTATGGTCCTTTGGAGAAGGACCATAACTAACTGCTCTTAGCCACTGAGCCATCTCTCCAGCTCCATGTTTTACATTTGTAGTGTGTGTGTGTGTGTGTGTGTGTGTGTGTGTATGTGTGTGTGTGTGTAAGTCAGAGGACAACTTGTCCAGGAGAGTGTCAAGTATCCCTTCTAATCAATAGGATGGCTCTCCTAGTGTGAACATGTGCTCTTATCACTGTGAGCGTTATAGGCCTTGGAGATCAAGAAAGCAACTCCAGTGTGGTGGCATATGCCTCTAGTCCCAACACTTGGAGGCAGAGGCAGGTGAATCTCTGTGAGATGGAGACCAGCCTGGTCTACATAGTGAGTGCCAGGCCAGCTGGGGCTACATGTAGGGAGACCTTGTCTCAAAAAGACCAAAAAGAAAGGAAAGGAACTCCTCTCTACTAGCTTAGCCTGCCTTCTTTATAGTAAATTATCATTACCAACTCAACAGGAAGCACAGTCACCTTCCTTCAGCCATGCCTTCATTTTACAGGAGAGGGTGATCGCTGGGAAAACTTTCCTTTTACCTTTCTTCTGTCCTTTCATGAACTTCGTCCACAATGATGTGGGTGACTCCTTGTAAAGTTGCATCTCCTTCTAGCCTTCTCAGGACTACGCCTGTGGTGCAGTATAACAGTCTGGTGGCTGAGGACTTACACATAAAAGGGTAACATGGGCATTAATGAGATTTTTGAAAAAACAATTATTGGAAAACCAAACTGAATAGGTATGGGTAGAGACTATTGCAAATACCATCAGGTCCATTTAATATGAGATAATAACAACTATATAGCTTCTTGCTAAGGTCAATAATAAAACCTCTTCTACTTTACATTAAAATTTTTAAGTTTAAGAGCCTCATAAAAGCACTCAAGCACTCAAATAGCTAGGTGTGGTGGCACATACCTTTAATCCCTGCACTCAGGAGGTAGAGGCAGGCGGATCTGTGTGAGTTTGAGGCACGCCTGGTCGATATAGTGAGTTCCAGGCCAGCCAGTGCTGTACACTTCTCAAATAAACAAACAAAAAACAAAAAACAAAGTGGGTGATTAAATCAATTGTATATTTGCCTCAGGTTTAATAGCAAGATCATATCTATTGATAAAGTACAAAAAGCCTATAGAAAGCAAATTTGGTGCAAACACATAAGAGTTCTTTTTTAAAACTTTATTATTTTTATGTTTGTGTATGAGTGCATTGCCTGTATGTATGTAAGTGCACCAGTATCGTACAGTGCCCAAGTTGGTCATCTGCAGTTACAGATGGTTGTTAGCCATTGCATAGGTGCTGGGATTTGAACCCAGGTCTCCTGCAAGAGCAGCCAGTGGAGAGTCATCTCTCCAGCCCAAACACATAAGAGTTCTTATACCAAAATATTTCTAAAGGGACTTCAGTCCTACCAAAGGTGGTCGTTAATAAAATAAACCGTAAGTATATATCCCCCAATGCCTATGAATCTCCAGGTCCCCCAAATTGTTCCTATTCCTAGGAAATAAGCAAAGGATACACACCTTGACACTTTCCAGCCGGATCTGGTACCCCACAGTCAGACCCACCCTCTCTGCTCTTTCTTTAGCAACACGTTCAGCAACAGAGATTGCAGAGATTCGTCGGGGTTGAGTACAAATGATGTTTGCCACCTTCTGGGGTGGCCCGTTCAGAGAATCATCCAAAATAAACTGTGGAATCTGTGTGGTTTTCCCACATCTGTATGTCAAAACAAAGGAGTCCTAAAATGAAGTTTTCAAGGGCTAGTTAACAAAGCAATCACAGACAATGAGGGACGCTAAAGCTAGTTAGAGTACAGGCTGCTCAGCTTCCACTACCTTCTAAAACTGCCCACTGACTCAGTACCCCAGCCTAATAAGTGCCAGGGATTTGCACTCAGACTAACAGGGCAATCGAGTGAAAGTTTATTATAACTTACAAAGTAGGGACTACTGTAAAGACTCAAGATTAAGATCTGCAAATATCTTTAGCAATGTGAACTCTACATATGAATCCTAATGACAAGAGTGTTAGTTTATGATTCAAGTATTTTAGGGGTTTGGGGAGATGGCTCAGTGGGTAAAAGCGCTTGCTGTATAAGCATGAGTGCCTGAGTTTAAATCCCTAGCACCTGTGCAAAGAGCTGGGCATGGCTGTACAAGGTACTGTTAACAGTGCTGTGGGGGGGCAGAGACAGAGGATCACAGGGACTTACTGGCCTTCAGCCTAGCTCTAGGTTCAGAAAGAGACCTTCTCTCAAGGGAAAAGGTGAAGAGTGACAGGGCAAGACATCTGGTGTCCCCCTGTGGCCTCTGGACAAGTATATAGACAACTATCTCTGATCCTGTCTCTATACTCATTCCCTCCCTCCCTTCCTCCTTCCTCTCTCCTTCCCTCCTCTCCCCCTCCTCCCCTCATTTATTTTCTATATTTCCATTTGATGTGGATTGATTTGGCTATAAATGAACTGAAACTAAAACCTGTAAGAAACTTAGAAGATACAAAATCAGTACCATCATAGTAAGCCTGAGCAAAAATGTCATTATTCATTGTGTACTCCTGAATAGAGAACTAAAGTACGCCTGCCAGTTGGCCCCTGCTAAGCAGGATTGCTTATCATGGAGAACATGAAACACGAGAAAAAGAAAGAAGTGTTAGTTAAAGAAATTAAAATACATTTGGAAGATAAACAGCTTTCAAGATGTCTGCTCTATAATAGAACTATCCTTTCAATTAAAAAAATGTGCCTTCTTAAAAGCTAGCCTGGTGTGGTGGTGCACACCTTTAATCCTAGCACTCCAGAGGCAGAGGCGGACAGATCTCTTTAAGTTCAAGGCTAGTCTGAAGAGAGTCTCAAAGGGGGCTGAAGAGCTGGCTCACAACCTTAACTTCAGTTCCAGGGGATCTGGCCACTGTGGGCATTGCATACACATGGTGCACATAAATTCACACAGGAGCAAACATATAAATAAATCTTTTTATTTTTAATTAATTACTTAATTTGGTTGTTTTTTTGAGACAAGGTCTCCCTGTAGCCCCAGCTGGCCTGGAACTTGTTATTACAGTCTAGGTTAGCCTTGCTCTCACAGAGAGCTGCCTGCCTCTGTGTCCTGAGTGCAATGATTAAAGGCATACATCACCACATGCAGTCGAAATAAACCTTTTTTAAAAAGTTCCGAGGCAGAGGTACACATCTACAAGTTCCTAGACGAATTTCTGAGCTTTCCTTAAACTTTTTAAAATTTGGCTCTGAGGCTACAGAAGGGGCACAAGCACTTACACGGGTCGTCACTTAATATTCAGATAAAAACATACAAACATCACCAGCTATCGGCTTTTTTTTTTTTTTTTTTTTTTGAGACAGAGACAGGGGCTCCCTGTAGCCCCAGTTGGTCTGGAACTATGTACATCAGGCTGGCTGTGAACTCACACAGATCTGCCCGCCTCTGCCTCCCAAGTGCTAGTATTAAAGGTGAGTGCCACCATGCCTGGCTCTGCTACAGGCTTTTTTAAAGCAGAACTGGTTGTGGTAACCAATGTGCCTGTCCTATCTGTATATATTTGAAGTAAATTATTTTCTTACCCAGTCATACCACTTATGACAACCACTTGGTGCTTGCTCAACAATTTAAGAATGTTTTCTCTTTCTTCCCAAGCAGGTAATGATTGTCTTTCTTGCAGAATTGAGTGGAACTGTCTGGAAGCCTAATAAAATCAAGGATAAGGCAGCAGTTGAGTTACTTTTAGTTATCTTTCACAAAACTCAGAATTCAGAATTCCATAGTAAGATACATCCTTTCTGCTCTTTCCTTAGCAATTTGCTCTCCCAATAGGTGAGATTTGTCAGGATTGGATGCAGATGACTTTATAGTCAGAGGTCTGGCTCCTGAATCCACACAGTGAGCTGTGGAATCCTACAATGTTTCTGTAACTAAATAAACTGAAAGATCTTATAAGCGAAATAAACCCCTCTTACTTAGTATCTACCCAGTTCTTCCCAAGAAGAATCTCCCTGTAGCCCCAGTTGACCTAGCACTCACTATGTAGACCAGGCTGACCTCGATGTCACAGAGCTCTGCCTGCTTCTGCCTCCCAAGCGAGTGCTGGGATTAAAGATGTGCACTAGCTACCATGTTCAGCTGATATACAGATTCTTCTTGGGACGCCAGGCATGCGTTTAATCCCAGCATTCACTGACAGGCAGAGGCAGGAGGATCTCTGTGAGTTCAAGGCCAGCCTGGTCTATATAATGAGTTCCAGGCCATCTGGAACTACAGGGAGACCTTGTCTCAAAAGACCAAAAATAAAATAAAATAAAATAAAAATCTTTATATCAACACTTCAATAAAAAGTAACGATCCATATGTGCCCTGTCCAATATGGAAACTTCTGGTCACATTTAGCTACTAGGCATCCTTGAAATATGAAAACTGCTTCTGAGGAACTCAACTTATTTTAATGAGTCAAATGTAAATACGAAAGCTGGTTAGGAGCTACTATAGCAGATAACTAAGCTCTAAACCACATCATATTTTCCCCATAATAAGAGCACTTGCCAAAGGGTTCTTTCTGGCCATGCACCATAACTATGTAAATCAGTTTCACAATTAATGGCCAGTACTCTATAAACACTGCAAGTATGTTGGGGGAAGCTGGGCGTGGTGGCGCATGTCTTTAATCCCAGCACTCGGGGGGCAGAGGCAGGCGAATTTCTGTGAGTTCAAGGCCAGCCTGGTCCACATAGTTCCAGGACAACTGAGGCTCCAGGGAATTAAAAAAAAAAAAAAAAAAAAAAAAAAAAAAAAAAAAAAAAATTATGGGGGAAGAGGAGATGGAATGCTGATGGTCAGTGGCACAGGGCTGAAGTTGGACAGGAAGAATAACTTCTAAAGTTCTATAGCATGGTAGAGTACTCATGGTGGTGGCACATGCCTGTAATCCCAGCACTCAGGAAACTGAGGCAAGAGGAGCAGGTTTGTTCAAGTGCATTCTCTGCTACATAGCAGGTACCACGCCAGCTTAGGTTAGCGACTCTGTTGCAAAAAAATTTTTTGCATATATCAAAATAACTAGGAGAAAGGGTTTTTTAAAAAAATTGATAGAATTGATAAATGTCTAAGATGACAGATATGCCAAGGACTAATTGTATCACATACACATTAAAGTGTTATACTTGCATGTAAATATGAAGTTATATGTAAATTAAAAATAAAAAATTTTAAAATATGTATGGCTGTACTTTTGAACAATCTAATTTATACTAATGTCCAAGTTCCTGTATATAATTTAACCATACATATGTCATGCTAATCAAATTGAGTACATAATTTTTTGGTCCCTATCATCTTCATGGTATGATTTTATACATTTTGATGATATCTTGGTATTACAGTATATACTTGATAATACTACACTAAAAAATAAGAATCACCAAACTTTAATACTAGAAGGGTCCTTAGACATCATTTAAGTTAATCCACAGATTCATTAAATAACTCACCTTTGCCTTATATTATATATAACTGTGCCCTCAAAATTTTCTTATGGTTTATTTTAAAATAATCTTGTCAACAAGGTAAAAACACAGACTTCTGAGACAGACATAGCTTGAACCCATGTTGCCACTTGCTATCTATGTGACCTTAAGCACATGACTTACCCCTTGAGCCTATGAAAGGGGGTATGAGTCCTTCCTTCTCCTCTTAGACACATATTTTCTAATGTAAATCACAGTATTAAGATGCCTTTCAAAGGGGCTGGAGAGATGGTTAAGAGCACTGGCTGTTCTTGTAGAAGACCTGGGTTTGAATCCCAGCACCAAGGTGACTAACAACCGTCTGTAACTCCAGTTCCAGAGGATCCAATGAGTGTACTCACATGCATGTACACATATATACACATAAAATGAAATTTTAAAAAAGATGCCTTTCAAATACTAAATTATCTATCATTATAACAAAGGCAAAAAGCTCTGAGAACACCTGGTATGCATACGCACTTGATATGTCCCAGTTGAGGAGTTTCCCCAAACCACTTATCAAATGCTGCACTCAGCAAATTGGAGAAAAGTCTACAAACTCAGGCAGGGAGTGATGGTATATACCTGTGGCTATAGAGCAAGATCCTTTCCCCAAAAGTCATACAAAAAAGAAAAGAAAAAAGGAAGGAAGGAAGGAAGGAAGGAAGGAAGGAAGGAAAAAAAGAAGGGAGGGAAAAGAGAGGAGAAGCAATTTTAACCTTTCAGAGAGAACCAAAAAGCTGAGAGGGAGGGCAGTCAAAGCCTCTGAACACCGAATCCTTCATCCAGACAGCAGGGGGTGATGTTAGCCCTGGCTATACCATACCTGTTTTATTCGGAACTGCTTGCAGATCTTACTGTTTTCAGCATGTGCTGACTTTGCCTGCCAGTCATATCTTTTGTAAATCTTTTTCTTGAGGTTCACATGGCTCTCATTCTCCACTATAACTGGTGTAGGACCTTCATCCTCATCTGCATCTTCCTCAGGTTCTGATAAGTTTTCAACTTGAAGGGAGCAGAAAGAAACATTTTCAACTTACCCTTTCTTCAGCAAAATGAGAAAGTCACTAACAGTGACAGCCACAAAAATCCCAAGATGGAGAAAAAACCCTGAAACTTGCATAAAGCAGGTCATTCATTTCTATCCTACTTCTACTCTTAAAATGCTTCTTCAAATAAGCTTTATTTGAATTTAAATAAATAAAATTAAAGACAAAGCATTAACATCCAAGGAATTAACACTGTCTCAGCTACTCCCAAGTGTCCCCAAAATCAATGATATAAAACAACCAAATAGCTAGCAAATGATAGAAGGGTCAACAGAATGTGGTATAGCTATGCAATGGCAAATTACTCAACAAAAGGAATGAATACATACTAAGACATGAATGGACTAATACATACTATGACACGCATGAACTTTGAAACCGTTAAGAACCAAGCCTCCAAAAGTCACATACATATTTCAATTCAATGAAATGTATAAAACAAATTTGTAAACATAGACTACAAAATAGTGGTTGTCAGGGACTGAGAATAGGGGATTGCTAATGGGTACAGGGTTTATTTTGGGGGCAGAGGACAATATTCTATAATTAGATAGTGGTCATGACTGTACAACTCTTATGTAATAAAAACCACTGGATTATAACCTTTATAGTGGTAAATTTTATAGCATACATCTCAGTAAAGCTGTTATTTAAAAAGTCAGTGTAGGGGTATAACTCAGAATAAAGTACCTGCCCACCACACACATACACCCCGCCCCATACACATTCATGACATATAATTTGCCATTTCCCAAGAGCCACATGTGAATAGCATGTACTAGATGCTGCTGTGCTGATATTCAGGGGTGAGTCAGGGGCTAGCAAGTGCACTAGCGAGCTGCCCAACACCCAAATCTCAGGCTCACTGCTCTCTGCTTACTGACATTTACCAGGAAACTTTCTGTCGTTTCCACCCCCACACTTCCCTATACCCCGACCCTGCACTGCACTGCTGGAAGTTAAACCCAGGACTTCATGCACGCTAGGCAAACTCTGCCGTTAGCTGTATTTCCAGGAAACTCTTAGGAAAAAACAAGTTTCATTCTCCCTGAAAGAAAAATAACAATAAACAAGAATAAGTTCTTTGGTGAAAGTTGAGGAGGAGTTTGTTTGTGGTGTGAGAATCTGTATGGCAAATTTGAATCCGGAAAAAGCCAGAAGCTGACAGTGCATTCTATTTAAAGATTCCTAAAGACAGCCCTATTTTGATCAATTTTGCTGGCCTAGAATACTAAAAACAGGAGGGAGTGGATAATATATAAAAGAAGCAAACCTATGAAACCATATTAAATGGAGTCTTTGAGAAAGTGCTTTAAGGCCTCTCTGACCTCAGATTCTATAGTTAAAATAAGCTTATACATCACCCAGACTTTCAGTTTCATGAGCTCAACCACAGTGACAAAGCTGGGATTCAGAATGAAGGCAGGCACACTGGCCGTTCAGGGATTCTTGTCTTTTTGGTTCATGGGACTGAAAGACTTGCTCCAGATAACTGGGAAATACTAGTCCAGCCTCCTAAGTTTTTAAGAATCCTCATTCTGAACATCTGATCCCCTCCTGTTCCTAAGATCAACACTTTACCTACCTTCTGGAATTTGATTATGAAAAAAAGCATTATTTGGAATCCCTGGTTTGCGGCAGGCAGGATTACTCAGCCTCGTGCCAGAGGGGCCTGGAAGGCAGCTCACAGGAGGGACGCTGTACTTGTGATGGGTGTTTGAGAGTAACTTGACAATTTCCGACTCTTCCTCTAAAAGGGTTATCAAAGAATAAACAACAGGTTCTGAAGTTTTTGCAAATGTCAAGGCTTTGCCATAAAGGAACTCAGAAATATGTAAACGACAAGCCAGAGGTAGATTCTCATTGGTGGAATAAAATGCCACAAGAGGAGCTTGATAGGGGTATTTGTGGTCTTTGGAAAATCGAATTTCAAGCTCATATAAAAAAGATGCATCATCATCAACATTCAGATGAGATTCATCTACAATTCTTTCTGCTCTTCCAACAATTTGATTTGGGGGCACTTCATGTTTGAATTTACATCTCGATCCAAATTTACAATTTCCTTTGAGGTAAAATTTGCAGGTTTCAGGTGAAGTGTCCTGTACAGTTTTGGTACTTTCCTTTTGCTTGGATTTGCAGAATTTATTTGTCAAGTACTCCAATTCCAATCCAATGGTCCAGACTCTGTTCTGAATTCTTTCTATAAATTTTTCTCCACAGATGGACTTGAGAGCAAGCGCCTCTTCCTGTCTCTGTTCTACACACTCAGGTAAGCTTATCCGGCCAGCTGCCTCGGACATCCTCATCCTCTCTCCAAATGCCTCTGAAAAACACTGGCGGAGAAGATGCTCTAGTGCTGCCCCCAAATCCCCATCACAAATCCTCAAGGCCAACTGACAGCGTTCAGTGTCGAAACCATACCTGCCAATGGCAAAATGTGACAAAAATGCTGCATAAAAAGTCTTATCACACCATTGAAGTAAAATTCACTTAAATACACACATATGAAGTTATAACTATATACAGCCATGGTCTGTGTTTTGAAAAACTGTATCTGATGATGCTGATCCCGCCATCTTAAAAGACAGAATAATAGGCATTTCAGGCTCTGCTGGAACTCTCATAACAGGACAACCCTCAAGGAAGGGTAACTGGGTTTATGATATGACTTGGTTGCCTTGAATTCTTCCCCTGGCTCCCATAACAAATAAAAGTAACTACCTGGAAAGCTTTTGCACTGCAAATGGTGAGACTGTAAATTCTGGAATAGGAGGCTCCACTGTGCCTGAGCCAGTATACTCCCAAGGGTCAGAGTCGGGAACAAGGGCAGGTTCTTGTCCAGCTGGCCAGTACTGCTCACTATCAGCACAATCAGGTTCATCATCTTCCTCCTCCCCAGAAATGCCTCTCCTTGTGAACAGAACATTTTCATGGATTAGATGTTAAATTCTACTTATTTCAGAGAAAAAGTATGCAAGGGTCTAAGAATTCCATCCAAGGAGCTAAGAACAGAGGATTCTCACTACTCTTCAGTTGCTGATTTACTCTTTTATTGAACTGTTAATTTCTATCTTAGTAATTATGCTTATTAGGTATTCATATAAGCAACCAGGTCCTAAGTGAAGTGATTTATATGGACTAATTCTTTTTTCTTAAATTTTTAAAAATTTAATAACCACATGATTAGAAGAAGCGTTTCATTACAGCTTTAACATATTCAGTAACACATTCCAGAGCAAGGATAC